CGTAACATAATGGTTATATGAGAAGGCACAAGATGTTTTTCAGTAAAACATATCGTCGTATAATGTGAAATTCATCTTATTTGCTTGCCTTAAGTCACAATTTTTTTGGAATATGACGGCTGAATATGACCACAACCACGGTACGAAATAAAAATTAACATTAATTTCACTTCAATGTGCACTCAATTGCACATGTCGTTTGGTGATTGTAAGATGTATGAAATTTAAAAGAATGCATAAGATGCTAAGTGGTTACGTGGCTTATTATAAGAAGAACAAAAAGGTGCAAATATTTTTCGCTTAAATATTAAATTGTAGACAAGATGCTGAGTAATTATTCACGACAAATCAACAGCGATTCAGAATTATTCTAAAAATTCTTTCTTTGAACAAAAATCATCACCGACTATTAAAGCAAAATATTTTAATAATTTTACGACTTTGAAAAAAACAAAAATTGAAGACCTTGATGAAATTTGAATAACATCTGTCTATAATATATTAAGTCAAATAAATGCTCATGAATAAAGAAAAAGATGTATTTGCAGTGTGTGCATAAATGAAATGTTAAACAGTAAGCAAATTTATGTAGCAACAAGGGGAAGAAGCACAACATTGCAAGCCTGTGTCTCACTTCTTACTTTTTTTTGTTGATCTTTTGTTGGTTGCAGTTATTGATGAATTGACAATTCATTTTGTCCAATAAGATCTGGCACAAATTTAGCAAATTAAGTTTGTTTTAGGGCAACGGTTCTTATCGATTGATTTGAACTATCAATTGACCTAGAATTCCAGTAGAAATGGAAAAAAATCTGCATAGCAAATATTCGTAATTGAATATAAATAATTGAGTCTCGCTAGACTTTGGATCCGTAAATTAAATAGCAATTGATTTGAAATTATAACAAGTCGTTTTTTTATGCTGGAGACTGGATCATAGCTAGGCTTACCATCTAATTTTCATGAAAATACAGGACTTTTGGTAAATTTTTCGAAAAATAGTCCAGACTCACATTTTCATATTCTCCTCAATCTCATATAATAGTTTGTAACTTCATCTTTACTTATGATCTTGCCAATTCATTCAAAATGCTCTCTATAAATTCACAAATCCCATCGTTCCTTACTTGTATGCATTTCTACTTGCATTTAAAATTTTACAATATTATTCGTATGTTCTTATGTGCCTGATTCCTTTCTTTATTATTATTGCTATTCGTATTATTCCTACTATATCCATCCATGTATTCTTTTCTTCAATATCATCCCAAAAAAGGAGACTATAACAGAACACAAATAGTGACAGAGAGAAAGAAAAAAAGGAATTGAAAAGAATACAAAAAAGATGCAGGCAAAAAAATTGATGCCGATGCTTCTCATTGGCGGATGTCGCGTGGCACTTAGTACAACAAAAAACACTCAAAAAAGACCTAAAAATAAAGAACGAAGATGAAGTTAAAAAAAATTATTTTCACATCTGTCGCATTTGTAAGACACATACGAAGAGAAATGCTTTATGGGTAGTGGAGATTCTTTTTAGTGCTAGACTCATTTCTTGTGCTCGTTCTACACACTTAATAATATATTTACTTTCAAACATCATCAGAATGTTTAAGTGCGCAATGTATTTGCGGCTACGGCATATTGTTGGTGTCTATTTTCATTCGCTTCCATTTCTTTATGCCTGATTTTACACTTTAGATTCATTTCTAGTCTAAGAAATTATTCAATAAAATTCTCATCAAGTTTAACCCGAGTTTGAACGCATTATGAATTTACAATGTAGATTATCGACTGGTGTAAATTGAATTTCATGATTTACAGTTTCAATAAATTGAGGGCGATTATGGCTGTTAATAAAGAAACTTATGGTTTTCTCATCAACAATCCATTTGGTGTGTGTATGATGATTGCTTAATTTTCATATCTTTAATAATATTTTGATGAATTTAGTCGATTATCGTTGTTATTGTACTTTCTTTAGAGGAACACTTAGCTGATCAAAAAAAAATCTACATGTATTATGCTAAAGTACAAACTGTCTTTTTAATTTGACATTCTTTGATAGGAATCGAACCTTTAACTCAATAAAGTTTATAAATGTTAAGATTCTGTTGTTGTGCCAATCGGCCATACAGTCTTTTTTACTACTATTCCCATTCATGGCTATTTCTTATAATATTTTTTCGCACTCCAGCCAACCAACCATCAAATCAACAGAAGGTCATCAACCAAAAATGATGATAAATATCCAACCAACTGCACTTATTTCGATTAATATCTTAATCGTGCAAGTAAAGCAGGTCTATCATACAATTAATAAGAAATTCATTTTCTTCGAATTTTAGAGAAAATTTAGAGCAATTAGCACATGTGTTGTGCATTTCATCAACGATGCTGTAACAATATTAAATTTTTCATTTTTCGCATCTGATATTTTTTTGTAATTATATTAATGTCTCACAAGCGAAAGTGAATTAATTATCGCAATATCGTTAAAGAAATCTCATCAACAACTCTCTTACACACGTTGATACAGCTCATGCATGATAATATCATCATGTACGAGTAAGAAAACATTATGAAGAAAAAAAATCTCTGATCTTGTGAAATTGTTGCACTGACCGTCGTTTATTGGCATTTATTGATTTACTAGCTAAGGTGATCAGTGATGAATGGTGAGATGTTAAATCTAGTAAAGCAGATTTGATGAGATTCTGGAAATTTTACTCATGAATCGTGACTAGACATCACCGAATACTGATGTTCAATCCAAAAATATTCCAAGTGACATTTTAACAACATATGAATAAATCTATTGTCACAAGTAATGATGTAAATTATATGACTAATCTATGAGGAGGAAAAGAATGCCGGGAAGGGAAATATTAAAGTTATTACTGTTATGACCGTCGCCACATAATTAATTTAATGTCGAGAATTAAGATCATGAGAAATAAATTGAATGCAAAATGCGATCAATCATAAACTTATTCCACTGGTCAATATGTGCGTGTTTGTTTGATTTATGTGAGAAATAGAATGTGCGTAAGACAGAATGAGTTGTGTAGGTTAGATGTGGCTACTGTTGAGCATGGCATGATAAGATTTGATGGAAAATTGAATTAAATCTTGTATGAAAATTAAGAGGTTAGGAATTTTATTTTTGTTGTTTACGAAAAAGACATGTCCAGAATAGGGAAAGTTAAGGTTGGTCAGGGACACATATATGGAATCTCCAAAAGCAAAGCAAAGGGGATCTAGCTCGCGGATTGTTTACTGCTGCTTTAAAATCCTATGTAAGAGACAATAAATTTTTTAATCTATGTCCAGATACTAAAAACGCTGACTTAGTCACAAGCAATGACTTCATATATTCAAAATCTGACTAAACCCTCCACAACTACACCTTCCAAGCAACTCTAATTCGAAGAATTAAATCAAAATTTCTGCACATTTGTTAGTCTTAAAACACAATAATTTATACCCAAAAAAATATACAGTTCAGCCATACAGATGTTTAACATTCAGAAGCTATCAAGACTACCATAAATATCATTAAAAAGAGATTTATTATGCGTGTGCAATTTTAAAATTTCTATTTCTTTCCATATTTAATTTTTAATGCTGAACTACCTCAAAAAAATAATTCACTTCCATTACCAAATTTTGTCACGAACAAAGCGCTAAAATTGTCAACAAAAAATGAAAATTCAAACACCAAAACAATAATCTAAAATTATTCTATGACAGTTACGCTCATAATAATCATTAACCGTCATTAAAAGAATCATAAACGTATTTTTTCGTTACATTTGGTTGCATCATAAAACATTGAATCCAAAACATTGATGCAGCATTGCAACATTCTCTCTTACTCAACAATTATTTTCTTTCTGTAACGACATTAAAAATGTATTTTGTGCATCTTTATGTTGATCGTTATTGTGTTTAAAGTAATAATTTACTCTCGATGATAATTATACTTTTAAAATGTTAATTGAAATCACAACACCGTCTCAATTAATGCATCTCAATTCTATTGTGTTTTTCGTAATTATTATCAATAACAAAAGACATGAATGAAATGCTTTTTTATGCCGATTGATACTGAGAATACATTGATGAGGAATAAATGGATATGGAGAGAAAAAGATAAATTCCAACAACGCGACAACATGAATTTTATGTAGCGCGATTTTAGATACTTTTAATGCAGAATTTTGTGATGCATATTCTGGCTTAATGGCTATGTTTTGTCATTAAATAAGTTTTCCTCAAATGTGAATTTCTTAAACCTTATTTGACTTAAGTTTTAATACTAAGGTTGGTTTTCGAGTAAGAAAATCTCCAATGTTTTGAAAATTAGACTTATCATTAAATTCAAAGCTTGATAGAAGTCACAATAATTCAAAAAATTCAAATTCATCAGCATATGCACAGCCAGTTGCATGAATTTCCATTAAAACAAAATAATTCAAATTTCAATTTAACATCCTGACAGAAACAAATGGCATCCAACATTTTGCATATACACAAAATATCAAAGGCAAAGTTCAATTCCAACAAAAATTATTTCTAATTCTGTCGCTCCATTCAAGTCTCTTTTTTTTTTCTCACGAAATTTAAATTAATGAATTGAAATTGGAATCAATTCTGGTATAAGAAGAAAAATTACTCATTTACCGACTGTCTTAAATACGATCTACTCGATCGTATGAAGCAGCATTAAGAAAACAACAACAACCGCAAATGCTAAGAAACCCAAAAAAAAAGAATCATTGTTCATGATGATGACGATGATTTTCGAGAAGAGAGAGAGAATAAACAAGAAGAAGACGGTAAAGAAGAAGTAGAAAAACAGGCAGATGAAAAACGGGCTGCAAAAAAATAAACAACAAAAGCGAAGGGGAATTAAAGCTATAGTAAATTTTTATTTTGTGTGTCTCTCTTTTTTAAAAACATTTGTTGGTTTTCATTTCAGTTTAAACGTTTGAAGAGTGAAGACGCGCTTCTCTCTCACTCCGCTTGTTCATACTTAATATATATTTCAAATCAAGTTCGGTTCTCATATATCAGACAATAATAATATTGCTGGTTCTTATCGTAGCACGCGGAATTCTTTCAATAAAATAAAGAAAAAAATAAAATTGCTTGCAAAAATTTTTGTTTACTTCGGAAACGTGATATTATCAAGCAAAGTGGATTAGACTGACTGAGTCAGCTTATAGTGTCTGTAATAAAAATAATAATTAAAGGATACAAAAGAATTTATCGTGTGGATTAAAAGAAATTTGAGGAATCAAATGAGAAAAAGTTTTTTTTTGAGTTAATATTTTCGAGTTAATTAAGTTAAATCCTCATATGGGTGTATCGAGTAAATCAGAAGTGTGTGGTAATTTATGCCAGTGTAAAGCAGATTACAACAACAGCAACAACAGCTCAAAAGTCTCAAGTGATAATTTATTTGCACCGATTAAGAACAAAATGAAAGTATTGAAGAAGATTAAGAAGCGAATGGGATTAGGTAGGTCTCACTCATTCACCACTCCAATATACTTTAATTCCCCGAAATGAGAAATCTTTTCATTTTCTCATACCGGATTATTGCATTTTATCGCTTTTCGGCAATCATGCGAAATTAATTCTCAGTTTTTATTTTTCTCTTGTTGTTCCTTCTTCTCTCGAATCGAAAACTAAAACGTTGAATAATTTGAGGTCTCAACCTCCGACATTTCAATTCTATACTACAACTTTCTTCCCCCTTTTTTATTTCGGGGCTTTATTTATGAATGGAATGCTGCAATTTCGTGATGTTGAATAATAATCTCTCTCCTCTCATTTTGCACTGTGCGAATATATGTTGCAGAATTGCATAAAAAGAAAGAGATGAGAGGAATAAATTGTGAGTGTAAAGTTATTGAAAGTCAGAATTATTAACGCAGATTTGATTAAAATTGTGAATTTGAGGGATTATGAATTGATGTTAGGTGTGAAAAAAAAAATGAAGAAACGATAAAGCGAGTGCGAATAAGTTGCTTTGGGATTCGAACCCCAACACATTGAATAAATCAATGATTTTGATTTTTAATTTGAATTTTCTTAAAACAATTCTGACTGAATAGCTTTAAATCCTTCAATAAACTATTTAAAACTTAAAACACTCCTTAAACCTCCAAAATCAACTAGCCATCCCGAAATGATCGACTCAAAAAGAAAACAAATCCAAAAAGATTCCCACAATGTCATCAATACCCATCACTCATTCCACCCACATTCGCGAAAGCTGCGCTAAATTATTTGCAAACAAGCATAGAGAGATTATCATGATTCGTCAATTAAGATTGAAGATGCAACTCGTAAATGAAATTTTTCTCATGGGATACTTTCAAATCCCGTTGCATTCTTTATTAAAACAAGTCGAGAGTCTGGTGCTGTATGTTTATTCAATTTTTATTCTTTATTTAGACAGAAGAAGAAGTTCAGTTAAAAAAATTATTCATCCATTTCGACCTCCTCATCTTCGGCCAGCCAAACAAGCCAATTTGAGTGTCTGTTCTGTGATGTTCTCACAGAATAATATTGAATATTGTTTAGGGTTACCATCTAATTTTCATGAAAATACAGGACATTTGGTAAATTTTTTCGAAAAAAACAGGACATAGAGTAAAATTCGAAAATTAACGGAAATTTTCATGAAAAAAATACAGGACCAAGAACAAAATTTAAAAATTTATACAGGACAGGGCTTTGAAATACAGGACTGTCCGTTGTAAAACTACGCAGATGGTCACCCTAATATTGTTTAAGAAAACAGAGTCAGTGAGAGAAAAGAAAAATAAAATATTTAATAATACATTATTAAGCATCAATTTATCCTTCCAACAATAACACGAGTAAATATTAAATGTAATAATTTTCCGTGCCGAAACAGCAATTTAAAATGAGCTTTTTTTCTCATTCTTGGCTATAACGAGATGCTATGGGAAAGTTGGAAGTTGAATTATTGGTCGAATGGGTGATGTATTTGGATGTTGATGCTTTGTATTGATTCTTGCAAAATTAAGTCATGTTATAACATGATAGAATTCATTCTAAGACAATCCGTTGCATGTCCAAAATCAATTGCCATGTGACAGTATCCAAATATTCTCCCACAATCGCACTTCCAACTGCCCTACATTTTTCTCACCATTCAATGGGAAATTAGAGTACAATTAATGTGAGCCATGGTCGATTAAATTACCGAAAAAACGATGTTATTTCTCGTTTCATCTCCAATCATCATAAAAGAAGGCAGCAAACAGAAGAGAAACCTGAAGAAAAATTCCCATGCAACATCTCCACAACTTGCCTTTTTTTTTTGCTTCATTCTCTTGCTCTCTCTCCAGCAGATCTTTTTTTTAATAGTCGTCATTTTAAAAATATATCAAATTAATTTTTTTCTCCTCTTTCACATTCGCAAATGTAAGCACAAAAAAAAGTATAAGCAGTCAGCCAGAAGAAATATCAAAAATAATAATATAAATATGTGAATAAGCAAAGCGGGAGTGAGAAAAGTATCGAAAAAAAGACATCGTCTCTCTAATGCATTGGCGCAAATTATGGGAACGAATGAATTGTAGTCACGATTTCTCTATCTCACTTACTCGCTATATAGTTTTTATATTTTCTCATCAACTCCATCAGTTAGCAACCTACGTTTTGCCAATAATACCGAAAAAAAAGGCACAAACAGTGAACGATGTTGATAAATTTCTATATATTTTATACAACTAAGCCATGCTTTTGCCACATTTAGTCATTGAAGTCATCTAGTAGTTTCCCATGCATTCCCAAATCAATTTTCTTCTTCTTCATCCTCGGCATGTCTCTCACTCTCTCTCACTCGCTCGCGACGTGCATTCAGAATTATAAACAATTGTGCTTGCTTTTTTTTTTGTTCGCAAATACATGTTATAAAACTGCAATAAAGACAGTGCAAGTAACTGCACACAGGTAATCACATCGGATATTGTTGCTAACAACTTTCGTTCCCATGGCTCATCTGCAAATAAAATATGTGTCTACTGACTATAAATAAAACGAGTGTAAGAGAGAAGGAGAATAAAAATAGTCGAGATGGATTGGAACAGATAGATTTATGTTTACCACAAATAATTTCAATCCAATAAAGACTCTGAGTTTGGATTGTGCTTGGCAATTTTTATGTACGTTTGGATATGTTTCAACTGATTATCAGTTTTGTTTAAATCTTGAAATTTTTGAATGTTTTATTTTTATTTGAATCTTGATAAGGAAAGTTTCGCGATCTTGAAGATGCTAAAGAGGCTTTAGAACTTGCCGCTTTTTAATTTAATTAGGTATATGAATATTCAGGAATTCACTAACTTGTCTTTTGACTCGAATCTATTCAGGGTTGTTCAGTAATATGGTTCGAATTTTAGGAAATCAAGAGCTGCTTGCCAATTTACTTTAAGGTATTAAAATGTGAAAAATCGCAAAAACTACAATACTGATTATATTGAAGGTTCGAATCCTTAAAGAACTGAAATTGTTGTTTTTTCTTTCGAAAATATTATTTTTGATTTGTTTTAGTTTTTCCCACTCTTTATTAGTTCCAATATGCGCTCTAAACTCATAATTTTAAACTTTCCCCATTCATTAATATTTTTATTATTCATCGCTCGATTTATTCTACATCATTTCATTTATTTTTCGTTGTTGTTGTTTAAATGAAATGAATTGAAAAGAATTATGATGTTTACTACATCGACATATAGTGAACTTTTAATATGGTGTATATATTGCAAGGAATATGATTATTGGCAAATATAAGCTTATGAAACATTTCGAAATAGTGATGCGATGATGCGAAATTGCCTCATAAATTTAACACTTTTTATAGGTTTTTCTTATTCTTTCTACATCTCATGACTGCCTCTGCGCCATCCAAGTGTGTGAGAAATCGTACAAATTCATTTAATGGAAATGAATAAAAGAAAGAAATATAAGAAAAAAATGTATCAAGTGATTCATTGAGCATTTACAATGTGTTAAATCTTTATGTCGATTTAGGTACATTCGAGGCTTGGAGGAAGAATGAGAATAATAAGGCAGTAATAACAAGTCTAATTAAGACTGTTAAAATGAGATTTAATTATTGAATGGAAATGAAGCGGCACGGCGATATGAATTGAGACGTGATCGGAACGACTCATAATTGCCTTTTAACGCTCTATTTTTTTTAACGCGATTTACATGAGGTTTTTGGGTTGATTGAGGAAGCTTTATAGTTTGGGTGTTGACTGGATGTTTATATTAATCATTCTTTCATGATTTATGAAGTGAAAATTTATTAAAATGTAAGATTGCATTAATGGCAAAGTTTCGAATTCTAAAAATTCAAACAATAAGGTTATCTGCTCTATAAGCCTTAAAACTTTTTTGTTAAATTTCAACACCTATAATGCGCTATCATCACCTTTTTTGCCATCTTTCCAACTTACTTCCATCACGGTCTGTCAAAAAATTATACAAAAACACGCAAAAAAAATCGAGAACCTAAATGACCATAATGAATCGCGCTGACTCATAAATGGAAATTAAATCCAATAAATTAATTAACTTAAGAATCGTAAAAAAATCTTTTTTGTGCTGAACAACCCAACACAGAATCGACACACGTTAAATTTATTCAACTTATTTCCAGAATTTTTCGTTGTTCTGGTTGAGAATGAAGAAATTGAACAACTACCAAAAAAATGAATGGATTTATAATAGAATTAATAGGTTTTCAAAGTCTTAATTCAATTTACCAAAATTGAACAATAAAAGAAGAAGAAAATTGAATTTGATGAATATGGAAATAAATTCGTGTAATTGGAATGAGGTTAAACAAATTCCAAAAAACGCACCTATTAGTACTTAAAACATGATCATGTTCAATATTACTGAAGATCACGTCGAGAGAGAGTGAAATTCCTTTTGTTATAAACAGAGGGCGAAGCCGAGCTTAGTCGACTATAGTCGACTAAAATCGACTTAGCCGGTTTTAGTCGACTAAAGAATTAACGGTTTTTTCCTTAGTCGGCTATAGTCGACTAAAACCGGCTAAAGTCGACTAAAGCCGCGACTAAGATCGACTAAAGAAGGATTTTTTGGCTTGTGAAGTATAAAAATTTCATACAAAAATTCTCTTATTTTCGTCATTCAGGTTCGAATCTCAAAATATTTTTTGACTTTTTTAAACATTCAATTTGTATTATTAAAATTGTTTAAATCAAATATTATTAAATTAAAAAGATTAAAGTTGTAAAAGTATATTTTAAGTACTCATTCAAAATATTAGTTTTATTCATTTATGGAGTATTATAAGAAAAATAAAAAATAAAAATGTCATAAAAAGTGTCCTTTTAAAATACGAATGACTTAAGTCATTTTGAATCGTCAATTGTATTTTTAAAAACAGTTAAAACTTCTACAGTTCTGCATTAAGAGTGTTTTGGGTGCATAATGTGATGTTTT